TTTATGTATTTATGTACATATGTATGTGTAACATAGCTATATAGGTGCGGAGGCAACACCTTCGCTTCAGCGATTATTTCGGCTAACAAATACTTTAGTTTGCGCGTATTTCTACAGCGCTGAAATATTGGTGCACGATTTACGAGTCTGATTGGCGGCTAGTTGAATTTATGCTTACATGTTCGCAATTTTTTATTTTTTCTCCATTTAAGCGTATATTTAAAATTGGGACATTTATGGACACAATTTTCAAGAGTTGTAGTATCTCTTATGGCTTATAAATAATAAGTTTAGTTTTTTAGAGTATATATAAAAGTGCATAACATATACAGAAAGCAAATTTTTGTCAAAGGCTATTGACTCTTAATTGATCAATATTCATTTTTAGAAATGACTAAGGCCAAAGTAAAATGTAAATTTATAGAATTTTAAATACTTGATTAGTTAAAAAAACTATAATATTTTTGCCGATTGCCATTGCCATTCCTATAAAGCCATACTTGCAAGTTTATTTCCGCAAATTCGCATAATATTCTCCAGCGGTGTAAAATTACTTTCAGAAATAACAACTAGACACAATATTTAGAAAAATACATATTTAAGGCAAACGAAAAATAGTAGCCCGAATTTGAGAAAATCTTCTTCTCATATACAATTTCTTGATACCATATTATAGAAGCTTAGAAGGATTTCAAACGTAGCTCAACAAACTTATCTACTAAAAAGTTCAGCTCACTTCTTCAATATTTCGGCACTAGTTCTAAATTTTTTTTTCAGTTATATAATATTTCCTTCATTTTGTGGTCCGCTTAACTCAACCTCTATTGTTCATACCCATGTACCTTAAAGACAGATTAAAGCACATATTAAATATACCTACTTGCATCAAAAAAATTTTTTTTGTTTTTTTTTTGAAGAAGCCTTTTATTTAACACATAAAGAGATGAGATGAAACCGAACATTTTATACTCGCTTTTAGTAGTTTTTAACAGTACCGTTATATGGGGAGTGGGCGGAGTTGTCACCCGATTTCACCCATTTTCACACTGTAGGTAGAGGTGCTAAAAGTTTGTTCTCAGTGAATAGATAAGTGAAGTTTGTAGCTTAAGCGGTTTAGGAGATATGCACATTAAACCTAGGGGCGGGACCACGCCCACTTTAAACAAAAAAAATTTAACTTCAGATGCCCCTCCCTAGTGTGATACTGTATACCAAATAACAGTCTTGTATGTTATTGCGGAGCTTAGTTATGGCAAGTTATTTGTTTTTGATTAATGGCGTGTTGTGGGCGTGGTAGTGGTCCGATTACGTCCACCGGCTTACGGTTTCAAGAAACATGTGTAACAAGTTTCTTAAAGATATATCAATTTTTACTTAAGTTACAGCTTGTACGGACGGACGGACAGACAGTCACCGAGATCTCAACTCGTCTCTTCATCCTGATCATTTATATATATATAACCTATATCTAACGCGATTAGTTTTAGGTGATAAAAACAACCGCAAGGTGAAAAAACTATTATACTCTGTAGTAACATGTTACGAGAGTATAAAGACGTTAACTTCAGTTGTATTAAACAATAAATCATGGCTAATTTCGTGAAAATACCTAGTCAAATCAAAAAGTTTTCCATGCAAGCACTTGATTCCGATTGTTCAGTTTGTATGGCAGCTATATGCTATTGTGGTCTGATATCGGCCGTTCCGACAAATTAGCAGCTTTTTAGAAAGAAAAGGACAGGTGCACAATTTCAGATCGATAGCTGAAGGAGTAGTTTGTATACATATATACAGACAGACGGACATGGCTAAATCAATTCAGCTCATCATGCTGTTCATTTATGTATATATTTTATAGGGTCTCAATAGGGTGTTACAAACTAGGCTATCTGGTGGTGAGGAAAATTTTCTTACTCAAAATTATTTCCAATCCAAAAAGCAAACAAGTTTATTATAACAATAGAATATATACAGGGTTTTTGTAACAAAATTTTGATTACAGAGGAGCTTAAAAAATCTCAAATTATTATGAAAATTCTTATTTTTCGTCATTATATCATATTTGTCATATATCCAAAAAGGGTGTGGCGAAAATTTCGAGTCGATCGGTTCAGTCGTTTCGGAGAAATTTTTGCTCAACGACCTTGAAAACAGCTTTTCGAGAAAAACGTGTTTAAAGTTTTGGAAGCCGATTACAGTATGTTAAAAAATTCTTACATATTTATATACGCTTATATATCTTTATAAGATCTTTGAATTATCGGAAAATATTCTCAGTGTTGCACTCGATTGTATTAGTAAAAAATCGATTTGTTGAAATTCATAAGTGAATAAGCCCCTTAGGAACATTTTCCACGTACGAACTAGATTAATGATACTCGGTAACGGTGGTGAAATATGTTACTCTTCTTATGCTTATCTTCAATGGCACAATAATTTAGGGTAGCTTTTTTTTAATCAGAAAGCCATTAGAGTTGTATAAAAATTCACCGAATAAAGTGTTTGTCCTATCTTTAGCAGTCGGCGCTACAAATTTTATAAGTGCACTGTTTTATTACTGATCTTATTCGTGTATCCTATACCTATACCATAGGCATTCATATTTTTAATAAAAATATTGATCTAATTAGAATTTTTTGACACCTAGCGGTCAAATGTTAAATTTTAGTAATACTATAAGCTCGAAAACTTTAAGAAAAATTTATTAATATTTCATTTTATGATATTTTAATATACTCCAAGAGATACCGGTGATAATACAACTTGATATTTTTTCTGGCCCACACATTTGTGACATTTTAATTTTTTCTTATATTAATTATTTGAATTTTTTGTTCATATTTAATATTTATGCGCAACATAGTATTTTATTTAATGAAACTTTTCAATTTTGTAAATATAAAAAAAAATCACTTAAGTCAAAACTCCATCATACATAAGACCGGTATTGTATTGTATTGTATTGCATCTCTTCTGCGACCTCTACATGCGTTTTTGAAAAAGATTCAGGTTTTTTGATGCGGGTCTAACGTGTCAATGGTTCATACCCAAAAAATTAATCGAAATATTTTCTTCAGATACATAAGAAATGTTGAAATCTCTATCTCTCTGATGCCAAAATGAAGATTTTCAAGACCTGTTTCATTCACTTTTACAATATTATTGTCATTAACAGAGGCGACTGGACAACTGACACGAGGCAAGCTTCCGATGAATTCACGACCTTCATAAAGTAGACTCCCCAAAACACTTCAGTAATACTGTAATACGATTCCGTAGACGAAATTCCATTGGCAACTCAAAATTTCAGCAAAATTGAATAATGAGAATTGTTTTTCTATGGTAAAAGTCGCCAAACAAACTTTTCTTGACATAAATATAATATATAACTACTAACCACACGCTAACATAAAAAAGGTTGTACCAATCTAAGAATCTTTATTAAGTCGATTTGAATTCGCAATTTTAATGGACCAGTCTGGTTCAAATTCATATATCATTACCTTTTCTAAAACAAGGTGTAACTTAATTTTTGGAACTATTACAACCTTGGCAAATAAATTATATTAAATATACATGAGTAATGTCTAAATAAGGTCAAATTTTAAATTAAATAAACCACATTGTCCACATTAGCATAGATATTGGACACACACCTAATTTGTTATGCAAACCATTATAATTCCACGCCTAATATAAACTTTTAATATTCAATATACAATTTGTTTACGATTTCTTGCAGATGCAGCACCCACACAGTCACATGCGGCGAATACGACATCTCAACATATTTCTGCTGCTGCTACTCTACTTGTCACAAATCAAAGCTTGGCGACCATGTCCAGAGCTCAGTCCGGCATTGCGTTTACCCTGCAGGTGAGTCAGCCATAACTACAGTTAACTTAACAATAGATGAACTATGCATGTAGAGATAACTTCATGAAAATCCAAGCCGTCAAATAACCAGCTAGACGAGTATTATAATCGCCGCATGGTCATCAGCGATTTCCATGTTAATTTGTGCTAATGAAAAAGAGTTCTACCGAGAAATATACCAACCGACATACACATATATAGACTGTATCGACACTCCAGTTTGAAATGGAGAATTGATTTCCGCATTCGCCGCATATCGAATTTCGGTTCTACATATATACAAATACACATATACATACATGCAACTCTGCAGTCAATCACTGCGTTTATTTTACGGATTTTATTCTTTTTTGTTTTCCTCCATGAATAAGCTTGCAAGTTGTTAATGTTATCAATTGATTCGATTTTCATTTTGCTCTTCCCTCCGCAGGTGTAATGTGGTGCCATTCGCCTCGACGGGACAGCTCGGCGCGGTGGCGATGGACTGCGATCGTGTCGTCTTCCACGGTGAGGCGCCGCAACTGCCGTATGGCGCGCCGATTGTTTCCTATTCGCAGCGCTACAGTGGCCAGCAGGTTTTGCCATCACAGGTGAGTGGAACGATGAGTGAGTGAGGGTTAAGATGCATTGCTATAAAGCTGCCTGTCAGTCTTGCAAACTGGTCGTTACAACGTCAACTGAAACTACTGTGTACACACACCAGCATAAAAATATACTTAAGGGTATAAGGGTACGAGGACAGTACGCTAAGTACTTGGTGTCGCGATCGGTTGGCGTCTCTATCACTATTATGTACCACATTTCTCCGTATAACTACTTTCAAAACCAACTACTCGAAACAGGCAGTCCACGATCTCGTATTGACAGACCTCAAATTGATGGTGCGTGACACAGCTGAGACAGTAGGCATCGCAAAAAGGTCGATTCTTGACCGTCTTCGAAAGATGTTCCCAAAATTTTCACATACCAGAGATCAAGGAACCAGTGGATTTTAAATGGGAAACTCGAGTAGAAAACTATCTCATCAGCCGAAAAGGCGATGACGACTGTTTCTTGGCATTCGCAAAGAAAAGTGCCAAACAGTCATAGGATTTTACTAAACGGAATTATCTAGCCGATTCGACGCCGAGTTCTTTTTGCTTCCAAATATGAAAAATTTACTCGCCTAGCAGAAATTTGAGTTGAATAAGAACTTTAAACTAAAAAAATGTCCTTAAAAAGCAACCTTTTCTAAAAATTTCGATTTACTTTTGTCTTACGTACTTATCGGACCACCCTCATATCTGTTCATGTATGCGTTCGTCTGTAACTCATAACCTGTCGGCTTAAATCATAACATTAAATCATTACAGGCCAACATTACAACAAATCTGGCTATTTATACTTTTTGGCATAGCAAAAACTTTTGTCTCGACGTATTCGTTGTTGAGAATGCTTTTAGCGCGGAAAATTTCCATTATTTTATGGAATCGTAAATTATCTTAAATTTTATAGTGAATAGCCAACAAAAATTCGTAATGACTGCAATACAATGGCGAAAAAATAAAAAATAAATTATACTTGTGTACTTAAAGACTAGATTTTTTCGAAGTTGCGATTCCGCCAGTAATATGGGAGCGTAACAAAAGTGGCTAGTTTTCAAAAAACAATGCAAAAATGCTGCACGCTCTGTACTGTACTTGTAGCATTTCGATCCAAGCCAAGGTTAGACAAGCGTTGCTGGTTGATTTCATTTTATGCTTTTACATTGTGTTTTCCGGTGAGTTTAATGCTCCGCCAATGACCTCAACAATTAAGCGTTTCGATAAGCGTGCTGTGGTTGTTGCAGTTATGCTAAAAAATGTGTATATAATTTAGTTAGCCACTGTTGTAATATCACTTACATATAAAAACACAATAAAAGGAGATATAAGGCTAAATGCGAGCATTTTTTTAATCCATCCATTTTCGTATAAAATATAATATTAACGGTTTTTGGCATATGAAACCTTTTTATGCATACATATATAAAGAGTATAAAGTGAAACTCGAAGATGACATTGTGTTGAACACGAGACAATCTCAAGAATATTAATTTTTCAAATATGATTTTGACCTCTCTTGAAAAACGAAGCCATACTACAATAACTGATCGATAAAAATGAAGTCTTTGTATGGAAAACTTTTCTCACTGTCAAGATATCTTTACGAAATTTTACATAGATTCATGGCCAAGACAACGTTATAATCTCCAAGTATATTGTTCAGACCAAAGCAGTATAACATATAGATGCCATACAAACTGACCGATCACAATCAAAATAAGGATCTTTATAAAATACCTGTTTTTCTTATGCTTAGTTGCTATAAGAAATGCATAAGAGCATTATAGTTTGGGTTCAGTGGACGTTAACTGGTTTCTAGTTTGTTCTCCCAACAACAACCAGAACTTGTCTTTCTGAAATTATAATTTTAAAATTGAAAATTTTGTTATACTAAAATAAGTATTTCTAATTGCAGAATTAAGAAGTAGTTTTTAAAATTGTAAATATGGAATAGTACTTGCTGACTTTGATACGCCAATTTAGCGAGGCCAATTAAGAAGCGAATCGAACAGATAACTGGTATAAATACTTAATAGAAGATATAGAATTAGAATAGCAAAATTTACTGAGCTATTCACAAAACTTTTTTGCTGTATTCAACTAGATAATTTTGTTGTTGTTGACAAAATGATATTTGAATGAAAATCGAATAAGGCAAGAATCTTAAAAAAGCAAAAACACATGAACCGTTAATCGTACAAAAAGCTCCAAATTAATATAGTCAACTACTTTTTCGACCAATTTGAAGCCGTACTAGTGGGAAATAGACTTACACAACGTTTAATTTACGAGTGGGACAATTTCAATGCAAATTGGGAATGAGTCAGACAGCATGGAACCTTTAGGAACTTATTTCACCACAATTTCGTGTAATGACTTCGCCACTGAGCCTGATTTTCAGTAATCAATGAACTATAACTATTTAACTATTATAAAATTAATACAGCTCACTCTTCCATCTTTTGATGTATTCACTGTTGCTTATTCGGAAATTTTTATTAATATTTCGTTTAACTTTCTCTCGATGAGAGCGAAGGTCGGTTCATCGCATACAAAGATTACCCCGTTTCATCCGGGTAATTATTAGAGATTTATAAAGTGTTGATTATATGTTTCGATAGGGTTTTTACTTCTCAATTTTCTACATAACTCAAGTACTGGCCCTTCGCAACTTTACTTTTAAGGTAAGAAAGCGTCGGAGGCCTTATAAAATATATATGCATATATGATCAGCGTGACGAGCTGAGTTGATTTAGCTAAGCTGCCGCTCAGTTGACAAAATTGCCGATATCGGACAACTATAAGATATTGCTACCATACAAGCTGATTGATCAAATGCTAGTCCTTGTATGGAAAACGTATTCATTGTCTTCAATAAATTAGCCACGGATTATTACCCAACGCAACACGGCAATCTCTGAACGAATTATACGGATAAGCTTATTACCGCCATATAAATTGACCGATCCAAATCAAGTTGTCGTATGGAAACCTTTTTATTTGTGAAGAGCATTATAGCCTCGGTGCAAATGAAGTTAAAGTTTGTTCTTGTTTTCAATGAGTTTTGTCACATTTAATTAGACTCCATCAATAAGTGTGGTAAAATAATAGAAAGCAATCGAAGAGATTTCAGCAAACTGCTTGAAAAATTACTAGTTAAGACCAAATGATTGGAATCACAATCAAAACAACCGATTTGTCAAAGACACCACTCTTCTGCTACATACCTACATATGTATGTGTCTCTTCATAAATATGCGCTCTCAATTAAAGCATCTCGAAAGCAAAAGTTTAGCAATTAAAATCGAGAGCAAAAATGATTACGCTGTTACGTGATTGGATGCACCGCTGCAGTTTACAGCATGACTCCATGTATTGTATACATACATATCATAACGTTTGTATGTATGTAATTATGAAGATAAATGTACACTTTTACCACTTTACTAAAAGCTAGTGTAATTTACTGTAGCTTTTTCTCACATTCCAGTACATGAAGCACACACATATGTACATGTTTTACAATACTTTATGTACTTGTATGAATAAACTCTTTGGTATGCTGAAGCATGTCGCTCATGCAAACATATCTGCTTTAATACACTTTCACTGATGGCCCAACATTAAATCGGCGGCGACAAAAAAACGCCAAAAATCTGATGGCAAATAAGAAATCTTCACATGGCAGATATAAGTGTGTGTGTGTGTTGGCACGTCTCAAGGGAACACAAAAAGTAATAAGAAAATGTAAGATCTCGTAGCAGCGATTTGATTTGATTTGATTCTCGATCCAACGCCAATGCCAGCACAAGCCATTTACCCACTTTGTCAGCCAATTAATTCAATTGCAAGAGCGCCGCAGCCAAAGAATCGGTAATTGTGCGTGTGCTGATGAAAGTTTCAATGTACATAGTTTGGTAGCAGCGAATAATTTCTACAAATTACTGGCAACAACACACATACATGAAAATATTTATACGAGTTTGTGTGTGTGTGTGCACAGCCTCAACCTAAAAATTCAGTTATGACTCGCAACAGCGTTTGTGTCACTTAAAATTTACTTTTCTCATTGTTTGTTGAATTTTTTTTTTGCTGTTTTTATTGTAACTCACTATTTTTGGACCGCATGCAAAATATTGCCATGTGGAATCTGTGTAGAAAGTGAAATTTACTGCGAAATCTTCAGATGTTTCATTTGCTTTATTTTGCAAATATGTTTGTTATTTTAGTTCTGCTGATTATTGTTGTTGTTGCTGTGTCGTCTGCGTCATTATAATGTTGTTAGCTTTGCATTAGAAATTAGCGTAGGTGTTACTCAATGTTGACAACAAAAAACTTTGTGATTTTGTTATTGTTGCTACTGTTGTATATGATATATATATGTATATCTATATAAGTAACTACACATCAGTATATAATTTACATAACGTAGCCGTGTCTTGGCGTGTGACAATAATTTTCCAATTTCAATTGTTGCCTGTGAGTTGAAAAACTCTCAACGAAATGTGAAGTATGTCATCTTTTGCATAAAAACCTTAATTAATATTTATGCCCGGGACGCATTTCATGTCAAATCGTACCGAATAATAAATATTTTTAAGGAGGGCAAACTAATTTATAACTATTTAAGAAAGTGAAATAACCTGATTATCAACAACTCAGCGCATATTGTGTGCCTGGGTTTAGCAAAAATACAAAAAATAAATCACTAAAAAAGCTTTGACTTCGGCTGCACATAGCAACCATATGTATAACTAAATCTGAAAACGTAAAAACAAAAATCAAGTTAAAAACAACCTTAAAGTCAATAGTGATCCCATATCAGCTATTCTCTAAAACTGAGCCACTAGATCATTAAATTAACTTAACTCGTCACCCTTAGCATTTATATATATTTTATAGGGTTTCCATCTGGGTGTTACAAACTTCGTGACAAACTTAATATACACTGTTAAGGATATAAAAAATGTTTTTTATTAAATGTTTCATTGAATCATAGTTTTTCAAATGATTTTTTTCTTACAACCAATTCTATATAGAGAATTCATTTACTAATCCAGTCAATAAAATACTTGAATGTCTCCAAATCGTTTGAATTTGCAATGCATGGACTTGTAAGCATGATGCGGTACCTCGAAATCTTAGAACCGAGTAAAATATTTTCTAAGCCACAAGATTATCTCATCAAATTTTAACCGTGAAAATAAAACAACATGTTAACGCTTTTCTTAATGCAAAGTTTTATTACCTCTTTGAGCTCATTTGGAGTCAATGTCAGCAACTTAAAGATGTATAAAATAATCCACAAACTTTTATAGGCCTTAGTGTTACTTGAAGTAGGTATTTGAATTTCGGAAATAAAAATCATCTCAAATAGTGTCTAATCTTTCGAATAAATTCTCTTCGTGAGGACAAGCGCCTATTTTAAGACCCACACCCGAAGTTTTTTTTTACAAAAAAATAATTTTTGAGACAGGCATCCTACTACAACGAGCTGCATATCCATTATTATAACCAAAATTATTTGAGTAGAACGATGAGAGATATTGAGAGCCTCTGCTATCGCGCTAAAACTCTCACAACGATTTCTTAATAAATTCATTTTTTACTTTCTCAATATTATTGCTCTTCATTAAGAGAGTGGAAGATGGAAAGCACGCATAAGAAACGAGCTCTTTTTATATAAAACGACATTTACTTCAATTAAATTTTATGGAAAAATATTTTTTTTTGTTTGGCTCTTTGAAGAATTAAATAATACATACATACATACATACTAGCAGTCTTCGATTCGTCAAACCTTTAAGTAGTTTAAACTTAAGCGTAGCAATTCGAACAAACAACTTGTGTAAATACTTTAGAAAAGGTATTATCAAAATTTGAAATATTGTGAAACTAACGATAAAAATATAAAATATGTTATAGCTTTAAGGTTTTGTCTACAAATTACAACAACATTAACTACCTAAATATTTACTTTAATTTCTTTTCCACAGAGTTTTGGCACACTGAAATTACCCATTGAAGAGTTGGATCTTTCGAACAATCTGATACGACGCATACCGGAGAAATCCTTTCTCGGCCTGAAAGAATCACTTACCGAGTTACGCTTGGCAAATAATCTACTGGGCGATAGCCTGAATCCGATATTTTCCACCGCCGAATTTCATCCGCTGAAAAATCTGAAAACTCTCGATCTATCTGGCAACAAAATCAAATCGATCGAAGAGGGTCTGTTGAAAGGCTGCGTCGACTTGAAGGTAAATGAACTGTAATTTCACTTATGTAAACACTTACATGCATACATAATTGCTATGTTTACCAATGCTTGTCTTTATTATTTATGTAACCAAACATGTTAACAAACAACGCACATATTTAGTTGCATCACAGACTCACCTATTTATATACATAGGTGCAATTACACGTATGAATTTATAATATCTATGTGTGCATTTATAAAAATAATTGCAGCAAAAAGTCGCTTGCACATTCCAGACACATTGTTTGCGCAAAAGCTGATGAACTGTCCATGCACACGATTCGCACATTTGTACATGTGTACCCACGTACATATATATGTATGTATGTAATTGCGGCTTAAGTGTCGTCGGCAAATAGGTGATTGGTCAGTTTTTCAGTTAGCATTTGGATAAATGTGTACAACTTTGGTGTATGCAGGTGCAATATTAAGTAGTATCTTTCCTTTAAATACAGACGTGTCTTGGCGCAGTCGCCGCGTTTGTTTACCAAAGGTGCAATAAAACCACCTAACTGCAGACCTAAGCAAGCATTTTTTTATTTAAATACTTGTAGCGGTTCAACAGGTCGACTCAACTTGTAATGGTCGTCTTCGATTCGCCAGTTGTCTGCCGCTTTGTTTGTGTTTTGCTTACTAGTCACGTGGATATCTCATTAAGCTGGTATAACCGCACTCCCCCTCTTTTTCCTATTTGGTTATAGCAGTCTATTTGAATTATACCAATTGTTTGTTCGATTCACCACTCAACATGTAACTGATCCATGTAACTAAATCCAGTTAAATAATACAAGAAGATAGCACATTCGTTCAACCGTACAATAACAAATAGCAGCAACATCGCCATGTTCCAGTGTTGCAATCATTAAAATAATTAATTTTATATAGTTAAAAGCAATTATGGATACAAATCATTCTGCATTTCGCCGCAACTTACAAACACTATAATTTTTATAAAATTAAAATAAATTAAAGGGAGATGAACTGCATGTCCCACATGTCATGTTTCCGATTGAGACAAACGTAATGAAAAATATATGAATATCTCTTGACTTTGTTTCTTTCGAGTTCATTTGTTTTTAAAGTAATTTTTTCTCATTTCTTTCTCGCTCCCTCTCTAGAAATTTTAAAATCAGCTAAATATTTTAATCGTGTAGTTTTTCGAACTCAAGTGGACCGATCATGACATACAAGTATACAATTAGTGAAATTTTTACCTATTATTTAGCCGTAATGTGCGATTTTATGATTTTTGAATTAAATGCATTAAATCTCTCTTTTCTAAATGTATTAATTTTCGAATAAAGCTCTTCTAAGTTTTGAAAAACATTTCCTTACAATTTTTAACGCTTTTGTAATTGTATTTATTTATTGCAGGATTTCTATGTGGATCGTAATTGTCTATCTGCCGTTCCATCCAACTCGCTCAATGGACCTAGTGCGCTGCGGCTTCTTTCTTTGCGTCACAATCACATAAGTAAGTTAAAACAAAAAAAGTTAACTTCGGCTGCACCGAAAATATAATACCCTTCACAGATACAATTCTTATAGCAACTATATGTATAACTAAATCGGAAAACGTAGCCGGTCAGTTTATATTGGTAGCTATGTATGTATATGATATGGCGTTGCGATCTGAACAATTTCTTCGAAGACACTAGCCTTGGACAAAATCTATGTAAAAATTGTAAAGATATCTTTGAGTAAATGACCTGCTCTTCACACTGATCATTTATATATATGCTTTGGTATACGGTCTCAGATGTTACTTTAGGTGTTACAAATTCGCAGCAAACTTAATATATAATATCTCCCTTCCGCTTTTTTCTCTTCATTTCAATGCTTTATAAAAAGTGTTACAGTGACGGACTTAGTTAAATATGCGCCGTTTTTGTTCGATGATCTGTTTCATCTAGACGGCAACTTCTATTACCTTCCTCGTAGAAGCCCTCCTTATTGCGAAGATTCGGACAGCCACTTTTCACAAGCCTCTTTGAGTTCAACTTCACCACCCAAGGCATTCGCCATGGACAGAACAGGTGGTAATGCACTTGGTACGTCCGGCTATATGTGGATGCGATAACCTCCATCCGAGCTCCCGGTAGCTTCTGGCGAGTCATCAACGAAGTGTGTGGTCTGGCGTTGTCCTGGTGGAACACTACACCTTCCTGTTGGCCAATTCTGACGCTTTGGTCGATCGCCTGCTTCAGCGGTCCAGTTGTTCGCAGTAGATGGTAGAATTAATTCACAGCGTTGCCATATGGGAGCAGCTCATAGTGGATGATCCCTTCAATCCCACCAAACACTCAGCAAAACCTTCCTGGCCGTCAATCCTCGCTTGGCCACTGTTTGGGACGATTCACCGGCCTTCGACACGACCGTTTTCGCTTGATATTGTCGTATGTGATCCATTTTTTTCGCCAGTCACCATCCGCTTCAAGAATGGGACGAGTTCGTTCCCTTTAGCAGCATATCGCAGGCGTTGATTCGGTCCAGAAGGTTTTTGCGTCAAATTATGCGGCACCCAAACATCAAATTTTTGTATTCAGCCTTCTGCATGGTTCAAAATGGTTTGGTGACTAATCCCATCTCCTGGGCATGTCACGAGATGCCATATGCCGGTCTAACTCGATGTATTCCATGATTTGATCGGTATTTGTCGTCACAGGTCTTTCCCGGCTGGCTTATCCATGGTGTTCGTTTCACCGGCTCTGAATCGTCGAAACCATTCCTCCGCGGTTCGAAGTGATAGAGTACCATCCCCAAACACCATTAATCTCACGAACGTTTCTTAGCGGATTTGCCTTACGAAGGAAACTTTAAAATAGCGCGAATTTCGGCGTTAGTGAACTCCATGTTTACACGTCTATAACTGTTGAACGCAATATCCAAACTAATCATGCATAGCGTTGTTTGTAGTTATGTCAAGACCTTTCAAATTATGTATGTGTTGCCAGATACGAGCTCTGTAGCTGCTTTGTTACATAGCCGCGAAATTAAAGACAAAAAGCGGAAGGAGTATTATATCATATCCAAGCTATGAAGGTTACCAGTCATATATTGTACAATGTAATTATTGCGGCTGCTCTAGCTTAGGATGTCATTAGATGACAATTCTAGAACCCAAACGCTATTAAAGACATCACTTGATACCATAGCATACAACAAATAAATTAATATTTATTTCCCAGTTAACTACTTAATGCTTTAACGCCTCAGAGCATCATATAAACCAAATATAAATGGTGTTAGTATGGAAGACAGCCTATTATACGTTTTTTAGCAATTTCATCGTATACAGAGTTTTAAAACGATATTTAGGTTTGGACTCTGGTATAATTCCTTCCTTAGGATTGTCAATAGTGCGATAATCACATTTACGATACGCCTTAAATTTAACGACATTCAAATACCATGCTTCTTTTAATTGCAGACATTCATTAAAGACTTATACTACTTCAATAAATCCTAAGTGTAATATTTACGTACAAGTACAAGTGTACGTAAATAAAAGTACTTATGAATATGCATGGTACCAAGAATGAGCAATCATAATTATCATTTGTCAATTACCATAAACGATTTATTACGTTTTTAATATTTTTTTCTTCTCTTTGCTGCACTTATTTCCTGTTCTGACCAACAACATTACCACCGCTGTCATTATAATAATAACAACAACAAATCTTCTCTC